TGCTAAATAATTTCAAAGTTTGCTGTTATAATGCCAAGATGTTGCGTTTATGGCGTTATTTATCTCCACATCGTCATATGTTGACCGTAAAGTTTAAACATTTGGAATACGCAAGATCTAAAAATGATATTGATGTAAAATGTTATTTTATTCATCATTTAACTTATTGCGGATATATGTTAGGATAACGAGTACCTTATTTACACAAATATTGTGAAATTCGTATTCTGAAAGTCAGAATAAACTTCATAAACATTCGTCGTGCATGAGAACTAGCATGCAGCGACAACATCGCGAATGATAAAATTTTATTTCCTGTACTGTATATTTAGGATGTTCATGTTCAGTAAGATTTCAAGCATAAAACATAAATTTGATCACTTTATTCGATAAACAGTAAAGAAAAACATCCCAGTGAGTAATTTGGAAGGGGGGGGGGGGTCTGGCAATGTTCTTTATTAAGACTAATTACTAGTTTCTTAATCAAATTGCAAAGTGTAAAACACTTCCATTTAGCTTATATAAATACACACAGTCAGAGATTTTGTTATATAAAAAATGAAACTTGTAAATTGTTTACAGTGTCGTATAGGACTGATAGTCCGGGTGTTTGTATAAATTTATTTTTAAAACGCAAATTACAATTTGTTCGTCAGCATATACATAGCAATTACATGAGATTTAAAAACAAAATAATCAAACACATGTAATAATGATGATAATAATAAATACATGTAAAAGGAAAATACATGTAATAAAATTCAACTCGTTTTTAGTGTTGAGGATTGATTTCATCTTGTATACATGTATACAAATATTTTTGCCCTGGTTTTGATTGGCAGTTGCAGTCATGGTGCTACAGTCGCCCGCGTGGCGCAGTCGTAAGAGCGTCTGCTCCAGATTCGCGAAGTAAGGAGTTGATCCTTACGTCGCGGGTTCTAATCCAACTGGTGGACGTGGAGACCGGTCCTTCAGATGAGACCGTATAAACCGAGGTCGCGTGTCGCAGTAGGTGCTGGCACGAAAAAAATCCCCCCCCCCTGGTCAATGGCCCTTAGTGCCGAGGATAGGACAAAATTCGCAGCTCTCCACTGGCAAGTAATGGCATTTCCATATGAGCGAAAAATTCTCAAGAGGGATGTTAAACAATATACAATCATTCATTCAATCATTGTGCTACCTGTATTCGCGCTATCCCTTTGAGTTGAAAAAATAAAGTCAATGCGGAAACACAATCCTTCAAGTTTTGGGCTTAGCAATTTTATTTACGATTAATTTTTTTGTATACAACAACTTTTACGCTGTCTCATTTTCATTGACTCTAATTAAGCAGTTTTAAGCTTTCATTTACGATTTTAATTATTTCTTTCATTTTTATTTTTTTAAATTTTCTAAAACCATCACACACATTAATCACATCACAATTTCAGACCGTAATTTAATTTTATCAGATCTTGGATTATACATATACGAAGTTTACGTACAATAAGTAAGCACTTTGTACATGTATTACCTACTTAATTCATATATGACTTCATAAAGTCATTTTCAGATAATTAAAAGGGAAACAACGCAACGTCGCCTTTGTGATCTCATTGACGTCATAATCAAATGTGCACAATTTAACAATCGCTCGAATCGTCAAAATTGTGTACCAAAATTGATGACAAAAGCAAACCCGCGACCCAAACTTCCGCCAGAGTTCGTTTGTACCAAACCAAACTCTTCCAGGCAGGCATTATGGGATACGTTTCTCTCCCAAATTCTCGCGAACTACTTTTTTTACGAGAAGACCGTGGTATCAGCAACACAGGTAAATATTCTTTTATAATGATGATTAACATCTTTGAAATTATACTTTTTAACGTGTATATAAGATGTTGATCAGAAAGAGTCACAAAAGTCTTGTTTTTTTTCAATTCGAACTGTAAATGGGGTATTCATTTCGAATTTCCTCTAAATTAGTTTCGTTATCGCTGTCAAGGAAATGCAGCCGGGAAGTTATGCAACCATTGGCATTTGTATGGGAATATTAGTGTGCACTTTTGCCATGCTTCTGCTTTTGCTACTTAAGTTTTACTCTTGTTATACTGATTAATAAAATCAATTGTATTATAGGTGGAAAACATATATCAGATAATGTCAGCAAAATCCATTTACAGGTTGGTATGTGTAATACATATTGAAATTTTTTCAGTACTTTTTATATAAGGTGAGAGACAATCACTGATCTTAACTTTTATTAATCCACAGATATAATTATGGGTGATTAAGACATACTGACACACCTTTAAAGACAATGTTTAGAGGACAGTCACTGGAACCGCATTGCTTTATCTGCTTTCGCGCCCCCTCAGGGAAGTTAAGGAATATAATTACAAATGTAGCCCTCCCACTCCCAGAGAACAATGTTGTTTTACAGAATATAAAGAAGTGTTTAGACATCACATTTCATTTCAGGATTGCAAGATATGTTTATCTTGCAACAGACAACTAGAAAACTGTGTACATTTTCAAAATATATTGAAGGAAGCCATCAACAGAAAATCTACCTCGAAGTGTTCAACAAAACGAATGGCATTTTCTTCGACACCTACCTTGACACCTAGTTCTACCAAAAAAGAAAATACAGATGATGTGAGCAATAAAGAGAATGTATCTATGAGGAAAACCCACTCTAAAAAGGAAAAGAAACTTCAGTTTTTGGAACTTGAAACAGATGTACCAATTGACACAAATAAATCTCAGATGTGTCATACAGATCATAACTATGGTAGTCTTGCATCACCATTGGATACAACACACCTGAATTCAGTTAAGGCAAAACAAGAGCTCTTTTGCAAGAAAGACGACAAAACCAACCAGAGTCAATGATGTTCTGCAGATGATATTTTCAAAAACAAAGTACTACGGTCTGAAATTCAGAAATTGATTTTACTAGAAACTGAAGTCATTGCTGATAATTTATGTTCGTTGAACATTCCACCAGGTCCATCAGTCCTCAGAACATTACAACATCCATCTCGCTTAAAATCAGAGGATATTTTGCATAAATGTCTGCTTGAATTTCAAAACTGTTTCCCATTTGTTTTTAGAGTTTTTCAGACATTAACATCCCCATTACATGCTGATCAACAGCTACTGGCAATTCCATAATTGCTATGATGTATGCTATGGCTATGAATAAGAGAAATAAAGATCTGTGTGCAATGCAGAAGATCAACGCCTGTATTGCCCTTCGCTTCTATGCAGGTAATGATCTATTAGACATTTTTAACAGGACAGGTATAACCCTTTCAGAAGACAGTAAATACACATTTCTGGACAAAATGGGAGATTTGAACACAGAGGGTATTGTTCACAGTATTCAGTTGGGAATAGGAGGAAAAGTGACAATTGATGATATCGATGGAATGACCATAGCAAGAGATGTTAGACTCACTGGGGGTAATAAGCATTACCACTACACAGCCTCTACTTACTATCCTGATCGTGTAGATTTGAGGGATCTTGAGCAATGCATCACTTCTTCAGTTCCAGAGGAAATTAATTTTGATGTATTTTACCTCAGTGCGGAAGAAGAAAGCAAATTGAAGGAAATGTATGGTTATATGGTATGTATGTAATTTTAAATCCAGTGTAACTGTGTTTAATTCAGATATCAAAAGTAAAAAAGTGGGGGAAAATTTGTCTCTCATCTTTGTTTTTCAATGTAACTATTCTATTAATACAAAAATTATAATAATTTCCTTTTGAATAATGGTAGAAACACATGGTAGATATACATTTGTTTCTATTTCTATTTATGTTCAAGGTTGGTCGTACCTTAGTGAAGCATTTCAAATCTATGAAATGGATGCAACCCTGCATTCCTTCACATATCCCTCATCCTTATAGTCAGCAGATGTCAAGCAAGTCACAGATATTTCCCATTAAGGTAGTTTTTAAAGATTTTTAATTTTTTAATATATTCCACTTTGTCATGAAAAAAATTGTACTTTTTAAACGTAATGTACTAGTATTGCCTTTAATAGTGTTAAGGTAAACATGCAGTAAGCCATTATATTTTTCATATCAATTTGAGTAAGAACTTTTTCAGATAATTCTTCAAGACCCTAAATATTATGATGGGTGCATTGAGGTTCTCAATGAATTCAGTAGAGAGTAAGTGAATTCTTATGAAAAAGCGGGAAGAAATAAAACAAATTGTTAATTTTGTTTTTGATTTATTTTTGTTCATATGTTTGTTACTGTTTCAAAGGATAATTACTAAGACCATTTAAATTAATGTTTACTAGAAACTTAGACTCACTTTTCTAGTTACTGTTATATGAGTTAATTTGTTCATTGTATTGATTGCAGTATTACACTTAATAGACTGTTTACAGTTTTGTTTTAAATGTTTTAAGTACATGTAAAAATTAACTACAATTAAGTAAATATTCAACATACAAAAATATAATATAATAATTTTTAGATTTGCTTGTAATGACATTTTCCTGGAATGCAAAAGTACAAGCATGGTTAAATTTTATAATAAGGTTTAGAAAACATGCTTATCACTAAATAGACATTATTTTTTAGGTCAGCATTCTTTATTTAAATACATTTTATTGCTTGACAGGAGATGACTTTGAGACAGCTAAAATAATACTTGGAGGAGATCAACTTGTTAGAGTAAGGATGAGTGGAGTCAAAGATCTTCTTGCTGGTGCTCACACTGCAACGGAAAGAATGAAAGAATGGAGATTTTTGATCCTGTTATAAAAGAGCTGTTTCATGTAGAACAGGATTTTCTTGATGTAAGTTATACTGCTGTTTAAAGTATATGTGAAGAGAAAAATATGTCTGTTGTGGTATTTAAATAACATTTACCGGTATTATGAATGTAACAATTTTTACTTTTAGAAATTCAAACGATTCTACTCAACAAAGACTTCACAACAGGAAGGAAGTCTAGCTTTCTTCAAATGTCAGCTGAGGAGGGCCAATGTAAACGATCAAGTAAAAGGAGGGTTCCAGGTATGTATCATGACATCCATGCTTATTAACAAATGAATGACCTTTCGATCGGCAGGTGCATGCACACCTATGCCAAGGGCTACCTTTGCCAGAACTACTCTAATTATTGGATCAGATTTACCCAGTTCCGTTATGATAATTTTTTTCATTTTCTCTGGATAATGGGTATGGTACTGTGCATAACACCTGTTCTCAGGAGACTCAATCCCTAACTTGTTCTCCATAAATCTGTAGCCATACCTAATTGACTCCAGATCAGTGTAAACGAAAGTGAGAGGATAATGTCTTCTGTCCTTTTGTAGACCTGTCACAATATCTCCTAAAATTTTGTCAAGGTCATCCTCTTGTCGCATGCTGGGTAGTCGTTGGTATTTGTAATACCTGATGTTTGGTCTGTCTGGATTCTTTGAAATAAAAGTGGGATTCCTTAAACCAAGGTTTTTTACCAGCTTTTCCTTTGTCGATTGTGATGCTGTTGCTGTAAAATGGGACACAGGTACTCTAGGGAAAATGTCCAGCAATTCTTGTATCCTAGCAAAGTCCTTTCGAAAGTCTTCACCCCTTAAACAAATAACAAATAGGCCAAGCTTAAAAAAATCTTTGTTTGCAGTTGCCGACCTATAATTTTTAGACTGGGTAGGTAGGTAGGTATTTTGTTTTTAATTTGTCTTCAGATTTTTATTAGATAACAAATAATAGAGCAATTCAAAGGCCTACTGAAGATGAATAAGTTCCACTATTGATTTAAACTACTGATCGATAAAAACAAAAGTCAAAAATTGAAAATGAAATAGTTTCAGTATCCTGAAGCAAAAATAATTTACTAAATGGCTAAAAATGAGTTTACATCAGGTGCATTTTCATTGGGTAGGTAGGCAACTGCAAACGAACAATTTTAAAATAGTTTATTTGTAGGGGGGGGGGGGCACTTAAAATGAAGAAAAGTTTTGGAGTTACAATCACTGCTCATCTAAGCTAAGAGGTTAAGTAAACTCATATTTTGTCTATCTGTCTTTCCATAAACATTTCACATTTTTGTTTCTTCTCCAGAACCATAAGGCCAATTTTAACCCAACTTGTCACAAAGCATCCTTGAGTAAAGTGGATTCAAGCTTGATCTAATGAATGGCGTGCTGTCTTGCAAAGGGAGATAATTAAGAATAAATGAAAATTTGTTGGCATTATTTAAATTTCTCAAAAACCACTTTGCTACAAAAGTGGAAACTCCAATAAATATGTAGATTCAAGTTTGCTCAAATCATGACCCCCAGGGGAGCCACAGTGCAAGTGGGCATCAAACTTTAACATTTATATGGAAATATCTTCTACTGAACAACAAAGCCATGATAAGTCTCATTTTGATACAGAAGAATCTTTAAGGAGTGCAGATTAATGTGGTCACATCATGACACATGGGGATGGGATTGGCCAGCTATAATGGAATTAATTTTTGTAAGAATATATAGGAGAAAAAAACATGCTGATAAACAATGATAATCATATTGACTCAGGTGAGCTCTTTGGCCTATGGGCCTCTTGTTCTCTTAATATAATGTAAATGTATTATATTTAGCGTGTACGATATTTGGCAGAAATTGAATTTTGAGCGTAGGTTTGGTTTAGCGCATTTCTTCGTATTCTTATTTATGTGTATATGTGCAAGACATTTAGCCTTGTACTTGACTTAGCTGTTGTTGAGTTCCGCCAAAGCTGCTAAAAAGAATACACAGCCAAATGTAATACGTTTACAGTATATCATACCATTCTTGTATCATGTGTGCTTCATCTATGCAGATACCACACACGTGATCCTGCAAAGCTTGGCTTTGTAGAATTTTCCTTCCTTCTCTTGAAGAAAGGAATGCCTCTACATGGGCATAAATAAGGCGGAATTTTCCAGCTGCCACTTCTTCTGGAGAAACTTTCATCAGCAGCTTCCCAACATCTTCATCAGTTTCATCATCAATACTGCTGTCCTCTCTTTCCTCACTTTCATCCACAATATCTACAGGATTACAGAACTTAATGTGCTCATTATTATTTGTGTGTAACTGCTATAAAGAAAATCTTAAATAATTTATTACACCCACTTACTTACAAAGAGTTATCACACAAAGAAATAGAAAAATATATTTAGTATATATCTTGGCCATTTGAATTTAGTGCAAATGATTCGTTTCGTTAGTTGCACTTCAGACTGCCCCCAGGATTTGAACCTGGACTTCCTCAATGCCGGCAAATGCTTGAAGCATGAGGTGTGCTGTCCATTTACACTAAGACAATCTGTAAAGTACTATATGTATCCACAACAAATAAAAAAAAGTCATGTAATTAAGGAATTATGTAATTGAGGAATTATTTGGAAATGTGAAAGGAAACAGAAGACAGGTCACAGCTAAGAACTTAAGGTCAGGTCTAAATTGTTGAAGAAACTGTGACTTGAAGGTTTATTTCAAGGTTATAAATACCATATGCTTAATATAAAGTCTCTCTTAATTACTTCATTAAACAGTGATTTAAATATTCAAAATATTTCTTTATATTATAACTTTCATATTTCTTTATGCAGGTTCTATAGTGAGGTATTTGCTTACATTTTATCAAAATGTGTTAGGGGCGCTTTTACCAAAGGCAGGGGACGCTTTGACCAAAATCAGGAGGCATTTTGACCATTTAATTGGGGACAGTAAAGAATTTCTTAAATAAATTTATGTTATGGGGCGCTTTGACCAAAATCAGGGGACGCTTTGACTAAAATCAGAGGACACTTAGACGAATATTTGGTGGCGGTATTTTTTCTATAAAAATATGTTAGGGTGCGCTTTGACCAAAGTTAAGGAACGTTTTGACTAAAATCAGGGGTTGCTTTGACCAATATCTGGGGGCAGTATTTTTTTCTAAAAAAATACGTTAGGGGGCGCTTTGACCAAAATTAAGGGGCACTTTGACCAAGATCAGGGGATGCTTTCACCTGGACGTTTTTAATAGGGGGCTCTTTGACCGGCTCCCACATGTACATGTATGGTTTATTAATTACTTGATAGTTTTATAGAGATGTAATGGTTAGGGCTGTGGGTTTCAATGATAAATACCGTAATAAGGTGATAAACGCTGATGATAAATATTGTCATAGGTCGTTAATTAGTCATTAGCAGGTCCAGTACAATCACTAGATTAAGCTAAGCCTATGTAGGTAAAATTACCTATGTAGCTTTATTTACCTACCTCAGGTAGCTTTATTTAGCTATTTCAATGCAACTTTTCAGTTCAAAATTGAAAATGATCACGACATCAAATTGGGATATTTTGCACATCCTGAGAAAAATGTTTTTTTATAGATATAAATTGATCTGGTAGCTAAATAAATCTACCTTTGGTAGGTAAATAAAGCTAAGTAGGTAAATCAAGCTGGTTAATTCACCTGGACGTTTTTAATAGGGGGCTCTTTGACCGGCTCCCACATGTACATGTATGGTTTATTAATTACTTGATAGTTTTATAGAGATGTAATGGTTAGGGCTGTGGGTTTCAATGATAAATACCGTAATAAGGTGATAAACTCTGATGATAAATATTGTCATAGGTCGTTAATTAGTCATTAGCAGGTCCAGTACAATCACTAGATTAAGCTAAGCCTATGTAGGTAAAATTACCTATGTAGCTTTATTTACCTACCTCAGGTAGCTTTATTTAGCTATTTCAATGCAACTTTTCAGTTCAAAATTGAAAATGATCACGACATCAAATTGGGATATTTTGCACATCCTGAGAAAAATGTTTTTTTTATAGATATAAATTGATCTGGTAGCTAAATAAATCTACCTTTGGTAGGTAAATAAAGCTAAGTAGGTAAATCAAGCTACGTAGCTAAATCTAGTGATTGTACCAGACCTGATTAGAAATAGTAGGCCCCTAATGAGTAACAGAGTAAAAATGTAATACCCGTCCCCAATGCAGGTTTCAACATGTAGGTAGAACCATCTCTTCCCGTTATATCTAGGAAACAAGCTGGAATTCCGCTTTTGCATAGTTTCATAACCTGATCCTTCATAATCGCGTTCAATGGCGATATAACAAGGACAACTGCCATGGGATCGTCGGTAATAAATGGCATCAGCTGAAAAATGACACTTTTCCCAAAACCAGTTGGTAGTAAACACACAAGGTCCTTCGATTCTGTAAATGCACGAAGTGCTGATATCTGTTCTGGTTTTAATTCATATGTTATCCCTAACTTCTGTTTAGCACTAGTTAATCTGGCTGAATCCATTTTGGTTCTGGTTGAAGTGAAAGTGGAGAAAATAATAATCTTTGAATAATTTTTATTTTGTTTTTTGTTATTTTTTACATGTCATTTCAATATATATTCTATAAAAAAAACTTGAATCTTCATTCATATTTATGAAGTTTTTTGAGTTTTATTAAGCAAAAATTGGGGTGATAACTTCGCACTTATTCTTTTCCTGTTATTCGGCCGCGTTGTAATCGCGGATGTTTATTATCCCGATTTGGTATGCCTTATGCGTTAAATGGTAGTGTCTCTGTGTGCGGAAACGCAAAGGACTATGGGTAGTATGACCCGCGATCATAATTTTAAAGAAGGTCAATGTTTTTGCAGCAGAGCAGCTGTAGTCACTTTTTGACCAGCCCTGCTTTGTGATGCAAGGTCGAATGCTTACTACATGTACCACACTTGTTTCAGAGCTAAATCTGAACTACAGTTTTAATAAGTGAACAGCATAAATTGGATCAGCATACCTCATTCTTTTGTAAAGTCTATAAGCTTTAGCATGAGCAAACTTGCACTGATTTTGCATCTACAAGACAAGTTTCAGATGCTGGGTTTTCCTAAAAAAAAAATTTAAAAAATTCTGAAGCAAGTACATTTCTTAATTTTTTATCCCTAATTTTAATTTAAGACTTTCTTTTATATAGAATTCCTCACTGGGGAGTGAAAGATCAGTCGAAGGAGCTACCATGATTGTTAAATATCAATGAATTTAGTGAAAGAATATATGTTTATGCTCTGCTACAAATATTCAATACCTTCGAATACGATGTCAAACATATTAGATTTCTCCCTATCTTCATTAAAAACTGTAATATAAAATGATGTTTTATTTGTAAAAGTTAAATACAGAGTGAAGCCCATGTTTCTCCTTCATAATGTGTACTATGTTGTAAGTTACAATTAGAAATATGGAGTGTTTTGTCCGTTTTTGCTAGAAATCTCCATTTTAAGAATTCATTTTGGTCTTTTTCTTGTTGTCCTTCAGTACATAGAAATTCTTGGCTTCTTCAAGAGTATCTGGCAGCTCTTTCCCAGTTGTTTCGGGTAACCATAGAAACAAAACTGTTACCCCGAGTGACAGAGAGCCGAACACAACACCTGGACCCCATGGGATATAGGCACCCTATATAAAAGACGGGGTTAAAATGATTACCTTATAAAGTATCAATATAGAGAAAATAGCACCTCGAAGTTTGAATTACTTATAAAAATCATTATTATACTTCTACTGATTTTTCCTACATAAAATTAAGATAGCAAGATATGAATTATTCCCAAAAAATCACTGTGAATGGAGTAATTAATCCACGTGCGTTTGTCAAATAAGTTAATCCCTACTTCGGAAGCTAATTCCCGATGATATACTTTAACTGTATATTAACCATGGCCATGACTTTCGAACAGGTGGTGTTAGTGATTTCAAATTTCACAAGTGCATTTCTTGTGAAAAGATTTGTATTTGAAAAGTTTTGAAGCTTTGCTATAAGTTATCACAAGGGGTACACGTCATGATTTTATTATTTTTGACAAAGAAATAAGGTGCGGAAGCTTATGTATGAAATGTAAAGATAATGAAGGGAAGTCAAGCTCAAAAGTCCATTAAAGCAAAACAAATTGAGAGCAGAGCATACACGAACCTTTGAAAACATCAGAAGAAAGATATCGCGTCCCATTGAATAGCATCTATTGTTTATGAATCACACACAGCAATAACGGTAGATAAATAAGTGTGAATGATACATATGTAGAAAAAGAACAATATTCAAGATCAAAAGTCCATAAAACAATACAAAATAAGAGCAGAGTAAACACGGACATCCGAAACATCAGAGGTGGGATCAGGTGCCATGGAGGAGTGAGCATCCTCTGCCGACCGCTCACACCAGCCGTGTGCTCTTTGTCATGATCGGGAAATAACGGGAAAATTTGTCGTGAATTCAGTGTTTAAATAATGGACTAACAATAAGTATGAAAAACGTCAGTCAGCATTTGACTCAATGATAAATTGTATTTGCTGACAAGGTCATTGTATCGACTATAGAACTTACGAAATGATGACTTTAAGGGGGATGTACAAGCCATATTGGATCTAGTCTGGTGTAAACTAAGAAATACCAAGAATGCGCTTAATACTCTACTAAACTAGCTCATAGTTACTCAAAGTGCTAATGCACTAATTACCTACTGTTAGAGACCAAAATTAGTAAATAATTAAGTTTATTTTGTCTTAATTAGAAGAAAATTAATCACGTTAGAACTGCGCAGCTACAGCATTCATGAGATGAAAAATACATTGAAAATGGAGTAAGTTTGATTCATTGATAATATGGCTACAACCATTTGTTTCGTTTTTTTCTTGTCATTATGCATAATTCTTGAAAATTTGATTTTTCATATGGGTGTCTTCCTGAGGCCATGTGTTTATTTCGTCCGCCATTCCTCTGTCACACAGAGTTCGAATAACAATGATTTTACAATAAATGCGACCATAATAACATCAAGACAAGAAATTACTAGGTAATAATCATTAGGTTATATTACTTACTACTTTTATTTGTTGCATTGCATCGTCTGATTAATGAAAAAAAACGCGATTTTAACCTCACTCCAGCAAATCGGGAAAAACTGTTCTGTTTACAACTCGAAATTCCTCGTTAATATTATTCCACTAAGCACATGGTTGGCATGTGCATATATCTGCTGTGAATAGATCCGTTTATTACCATGATTATAATTAATTTTTATAGAACAAGTCTTGATAATTTGTTGGTTTCTTTAAAACTCAAGAAAAAAAGATAAAAATGTCCCAAACATATGTGTTTACCGTGGGTCTTTTTTCTGTGGAGATAGAAGTTATTTTCAAATGGGGCACTGCAAGGAGGATGCTTAGCATTTAATTTGAAAATGTTAAACAATATGCAGTGCATGAAAAATAAATTGTAATTACATGTCTTACATTCGAAAATTTGGTACATATGTCTATTTTGTTTAGAAGTTAGATAGAAAAAATAGGCAGTTATAGGATTTCCTTCAGGCACCTCACATAAATAGCTAGAATGTTTGCAATGACCCACACATTGTATGGGGTCATGTTTGGACACAAAAACGCATCATGTCTCATTATGTTGACAACGTTGTAAGCTCTCGCTCATTGAACATACGAAGCTTGATAAAATATAATGTGTTGTTTCTATGAAATTTAGAAGCGAGCACAATGTTTGCAAAGAAAGGTCCATTGCATATGCCATGTCTATCATCGTAAAAAAAGTGAGTGCTAACACCCCCCCCCTCCCCCCCCCCCACCCCCCGCCCCGAAAATCCTATGTTTGTTTTTCAAAATAGTGACAAAGATTTTAAAAAATTGCATTACTAAGTATGTGATGGAACATGTACTAGCCTTATAAGACCACTTGTTATAAAAATATTTGGTTGCCCTCTCTCCCGATCTACTGCTTAGAAATGGCCCGACTCATTATCCCACTACACGATATTTTTTTCTTTTTCTTCCGTCAACAATTCTGTTTAATTTTAAGGAATTTTTTTCTCACCTATAAATACGGACCCAGTAATTTTTCCCTGAGTTGGGAGGACCACCAAACATCATTTTAAAGATTTTTATATGTTGATTTTTTCTCTTTACTTTGTACAATTATAATATTCAAGTATTTTTCAAAGTGTAAAATTTTAATTGAAGGTCTTTGATAGCATATTGCTTTATTAAAAACACATCCCTTTTCAAACTTGCTTTCACCGGGCAACATAACAAGTATCATATTTAACCATCTGCCTTCCTTCACTAAAACGATATCCAATTATTGATTGAAATTATAGGAAGCCATTTAATGAACTGTGAACACATTCTTATACGCTACTTCAAAGGCATTTCTAAGATATACATGTGCCATAAATATTATAGTCGTTTGTTGAACGAGTTCCACTGAGACAACCATTTTTCGTCAAAAGTACCTGAATAATGACGTCATTTTCAGATTGTGACATCACAAAAAAGGAGCAAAACTTCAGCATATATGCTATTTATAGAACTTGTGTTTGGCTATCTAATCTGAATTGTGGTTTTGTAGATATAGAGAAATTTCGCGAACTTTTTGATAACGCTTCGTACTAGTAGGTACTAAAAGAAAGTCATTCGTATCAATTTTATGTGTCTAATTTCTTTGTGTTTTATTGGTGATAATTAAAATTTTAATAGATAATATAATTTATCTGTGGCAAACTTACAAACTCTTAATTTTTAACGTTGATGGTGCTCATTTTTCCGTACCTGGAATCAAAGAGTTTAAATTTTTTTAATATCAATACGTAAACTATTTAACAACTGTTCGATAATAATACTAAATAAATTACTTTAAGCCACACTATAACACCTTTCCTCTTTTAAAAGTGTTCATATTATTTGAAATATTTTGCAACTGTAATTCTCTTTTACGTTTAAAGATTGTTATGCCCCTCCATAGTAAGAAGAGGTCTGGAAAACAAGATTTTGTGCTAAAAATACACCACGTGCTGCTATCCATGAACTACTTTCATGGTTCTTTACACTCTTTTTGAAGACAACGGTACCTTGTTTTGAACTTGAAATTATCATTTAAAAGTGCAAAATTTAGACATTTTCTCAACAAATGGTTGTAGAGAGAACATTAATGCACAGTTTGCATATTTTTTTGGATTTTTTAAGGCTCTGCTGAATTCTGTAGCTGCGCAGTTCTAAAGAGCATATCAAAAGCATTTTTCTGCAAAAGTATAGATTATATATGCAAAACATGCATTCGGTTATGCATATTTATTGTATCTTTATCAAAAAGACTTAAAATTTGATCAAAATATAATGTATTTTAGCTATTTGAAGAAATGTTTACATTTTGCTCTCACTGCACTAAAAGTGGCCGTACATCCCCCTTAAACGAGACTGCTGATATTCTTGCTTCATCAACTTGCTTGTCAATAATTTACCTCGTTTTAGAAATTGTTCATACGTAGAGCATGAATAATAGAAAGTTACATGTTTGCAAGTGATGTTTCAATGGACTTTATAGTCAGATTGCTGTTCGTTATCTTTATATATACATTACAAATATGATAATAACAAATATTTATAATACAGAAAGATCCCATAATTATGTATTAAGCTAAATTTAGAGTGTTAAGTGGGCTTAATTAAAGAAAAAAACCCTTACAAACATGGCTGCATATGGGGAGATCATTCCTCCTATTCTAGACGCAGCAGATGCCAGGCCCATACCTAAAGCTCTAAAAACAAGGGAAACAAGTGGGAAAATACATTTAAAAGAAAATTAAGAGCCTGTCTACGAGAAAACCATGCAGATATATAGAAAAATGCTCTGGTAGGCACTCTCAAGAACGAACTAATTTTTATTATTAACTTAAAGGACACCCATTGAGAGTCAGAAATATGTTGTTTATTTTTGCATCGGTTGTTTCTATTTTTAGTAACAGCCAATAATTCATTTTGGTCAATATTCAAGGGAAAATGCAAAAAAGTTGGTGTAAAAATGACAATTTCAATATTTAAAAGTAAAAAAGAAAAAAACTATATATGAATAAAAGGGCAATGTGTACTCATAGAAATAAGTCGTAAAATTAAGTTCGAATCAATTTTTTTGTAAAACCCCTATATAGAAGGCTGCCCCGAGGGCACAAATATTGGCATTGTGCCAAGAAATGATAATGGTTCATTTTTTGTTAATATTCAGGGATACATTTCTTAGAAAGTGACGCTTTTTTTCAGAATTTTGTACATTTAAGAATCTCTAGGATATTATCCAAACAATATGTAAAATCCACCTTTGGACTCTCAAGGACAGAAAAGTTATATCGTAATGAAATTACCTCAAATTCAAATGATGGAAAAATTAATGATTTTATAAGTTTTACTTTTAACAGTAATTTTAATGAATTTTGTGTAAAATATTTACAAATATAAACAATGAAAATTATTTTTAATTTTATAAAAGCTATAAATATTTCTTTTTCCTGCTTTTCCTGTGAAAGAAAAAACGTATTTTACTATTTATTTAGATTTGTTAGAATTGTCTCCCCTGTTGCGCTCTTCTGTAGAGAAGGTAGATAATGATTATGTTTACGAAGTTTATAAACAGATGTCTGTCATCTAATCGTTTTAGGTATAAATTATGTGTGATTTGAAGAAAACTGTCCCTCCTTTGAATGTAATTTGTTACGTATATACTAGAGGCCTATGTATAAAATGCATAAAAAATTATGAAAACCATCGGGATCGATGTACGGTTCCGTAACCACGTGTAAACATTATGGCATCCTGAGACGTTTTGTTACCGTTTAGTACGTCCTCAGAAAAAGATTCAGGTGCGTGAATTGTTTACGAGTCTTCAGATTCTGGCTCTGATTTTGATGAATATGATTCTGACAGCGAACATTCATTTGGTAGCGAGACGGATGTAGTGATGATGATACCGAATCAACAATGTTTGTATTTGAAAAAGAAACAGGTAGGTGGATCATGGTTTATAATACTATGTACCTTATAAAAAGGCTTATTGATATGTAAAAAATAAATAAACAATTTTGATGGGGACTTGATTATGGACAAGAGAAGATTTTTTACAAAACACTATCAGGTCTGGTACAATCACTGGATTTAGCTATATACGTAGCTTGATTTACCTACTTAGTTAGCTTAATTTACCTACCTGAAGTAGCTTTATTTAGCTACCAAAGTAATTTATTTCTATAAAAAATACTTACGTGGCTAAATCTAGTGATTGTACTGGACCTGAATATATACCTAGCAAACCTGTCAAGAGAAATTTCAAGGTTGGTACTTGTACATGTAGCAATAAAAATATCTGTATAAATTCAACAATATTACAAAATATTCACATCTGCAGAATTATAAATAGCATAAGTAGCCTTTGTTGGGTGATGAAGAGGGAATGAAAAGTTGAATAGGTCCAGGGTTTTCAAAGACTTAATTGGGTACATTAAGAATTGGATAGGTGGGTCTTCACTGTCAATTAAATCACCATTATTGCCTCATATGTGGGCTGCATGATTATAAAGAATCTCATTAAACAAAATATTTTTTTCAGATATTTATGAAATGTTATGAAGATGGCTACAGTTATGATTTTCGGCTTTTCATATATGATTAAAGGAAAAAGAGTTGTCAAATACTTGTGCAGACTTTTCAAATTCAAGGTCACCATGTGTTCCTTGAGAGGTTTGTGTTTAAAACATAACTAATATTATAAATATAAGTCTGGGAAATTATACTTTGTAAAGAATATTTCCTTTCATTCTTATATTTCTCGTGCAATTTCAGATTATTCAAATTCATTTCCCTGGTTAGGGATGGGCTTTACAATGGGATTTTCAGCTGTGGAGCTATAAAGAATTACTACATAGGGTTTCCAATGTAGCTTTGTGAACAGAATCCAGAAATAAGAAGAGGAGAGAAAATGCAGATGCAGCATTAGCATTACCAATTACTTACCACTGCTGAGAAATTGGTAAAGATATGTTATATTATTATACCTCTACTGTAATTACTCTGTATAAATTAATACCATAAAAAAATCTCTATTTCCCCGAGAAGTGACTATTGCCCTCATCTGAAGACTACTCCCTGGAAAATCAGAGCTACTCCCTGGGACTACTCCCTCACGAATATTTATTAGTAATTTTAACCAATCAAAGTGTTCAGTGGGTGGAGTGTTCAAGGAATCTCGAGTCTGTGATGTCATGTTATTAGCAATGTAGCTATGACGTCAAAACATTTTGACGTGCGATGTCAAAATCATACTAGAATTCTACCAAAATGAAGACAACGATAATTTTTCAAAATGTCAGTGAAAATACTTTTTAAAAATAATTTAATTGTTTAAGGACACGATGCTTCACTTATCATACAATGTGTTAAACCGCATGCGTTTGTAATTATGCCTCTACAGTTTTTTTTAAAATGTCGGAATATCTGGTTAAAAAAAAATTAAATCGCCTATCATTGTTTCGGTATAATAAAAAAGTTATGGAATGGGAACTCGGGAAATAGCAAATTTAAAGTTCCCCTCGGCAGAAAACTATTTCCTCAGGGAAATAGTTTTCTCCTTCGGGGAATCATAAATTTGCTATTTTCCTCATACCCATTTTATAACTGTATACTATAGTACATGGATAGGAATTGCCTTGTCTGTCTGTCGATTTGCCACATGCATTTTTCCCTACTCTGTTACTTTACTTCAAGGATATATGAAGCTCTTGTTTTCTTCAAAGATAGCCAGAAGAATTTGTGAAGAATCTTATCCAAGTCATTTGATGACATTTTCTTCAATTGATAAATTTAAATGTAGCATTATCATAAACATGACATTTATTTTAAAAATCTTAGAATATGTCTAGTATGGTCTATTTCAATTTAATTTGAAAACTGTCCTTTTTCACAGGTACATGCTTTGAGTACTACTTTTGTGTATTTGGAGATAATCCAGTCGTTCTTTAAACAAGAATTGGAAATTTCAGTGCTTGTTAAATTTTCTCCAGAAGTTATTGGATGCTACATAGGAAGAAAATGGGGTCATACTGAACAGAATAGTTTGGATACACCTTAATAGATTTTGAAAGCTTGAGACCTCAAAATCAACCCAAATGGTGTACCAAACATCAAGAAAAAAATACAGTTTATGATTGAAGAAGCTTGTGTAGTAGCCAAAATTGAAGGTTATTTCATATATGTTAACTTATACGATTTTATTGGTACATGTACTTAAACATTGTTAATATCTTGATATTTAATATGTATCAGGTTTCACAAGCAGGAATACACAAAAATTCAGAGTAAAGTAAGTGTTTATGTTAGAAAAGATCAAAGTTCAAGGTCAACAGTGCTTTAGTTTTACCAAATATATATCACTATTATAAAGACTAATTTCCTGTATACAGGTATAGCCAAAAATTCAGAATATGATTTGGGGAAACTGTGATTTTTTCTTTTAAATCTTACCTTAATTTAGAACCATGATGTATACTTAAGCAAGTAGATTTTTTTCAAGCATACAAAATTTCAAGGTCATTTAATTTTGGAAGTGAATACAAAATATCAGGAAGCAGTCAAGCATTGTAATTTTTTGTTGTTGAATGTATTTAGTTATTGAGTAATATTCAAATATTAATCTGCAATGAAATTAAAAATTATAAATGTTTTAATTTGTTGATTTTTAAAACTTCGTGTTCATTCATTTTGAGTTTGTTGCCATGACAATATGTCTGTCAAGAAAATGGCTCTGATATTCCTTTTTGTTTAGTTTGACCCTTGACCTTTGACATCGTGACCTCAAAATCTAAAGGGGTCCTCTACTTTTCAAGAAACCAGTGTACTAAATTTGATGTCTGTCAAGCAATGGGTCCTCAAGATTTTGAATGATTAAAATCTACATACTGGTATATCGAGAATTATAACCCTTGACCTTTGACCTTGTGGACTCCAAATTAAAAGGGGCCATCTACTTATTAGTAGGTACCAGTGTACTATGTCTATTATCTTTCAAGCAAATGTTTGTTTTTTTTTAAGATGAGAGAGAACACACTTGGTCTACTGATTGACAAACAGGTACTAAGCAGTATGTGAATATCACCCTTTTCAAAGAAAATGTAAAATAATACAATAATACAATTCTGGTAAACCCCCCCAAATTAACCCCATTTAACCCCCTAAGAAATAATTATTGATTGAAAACAAAAATGTACAATATACTGTTATTTTTCAACAGCAAAATTATATTTTTGAAAATATTTAAATCAGCAAAATAACTCCTTGCTGAAGTTCAGGGATGAGAAAATTTGAAAATTCACAAAAAAAATGTCCAACTTTAAGTAAAAAGTACAGCAAAATATTTGAGAGTCCAAAGACAGATTTTTAGCTCACCTCAACGAAGTTGGGGGGAGCTTATGTGATACCCTCGGCGTCGGCGTCGGCGTCGGTGTCGGCGTCGGCGTCGGCGTCCCGGGTTAAGGTTAAGTTTTTTGGAGCAGTTTTCTTTTTAAGTACTTCTATGTCCTATATTGATTAGACATGCATGGAAGATGTTGCTAGTGAGTTTCATTGTACCAGTCAAAGTTTCAGATGCTGAAATTTCAGCAAAGGAATGACCAGGTTAATGTTTTTGGTGCAGGTTAACATTTTTGGTGCAGTTTTTGGTGTAGGTCTCATTTCCGAATAACTATAAGCCCTATGTTGACCAAACTTACATGGATGATACATCTTAGGATGCATACTACCAGCCTTGCTTCGGATGCTGAATCTGACCTACATTTTCCGGTTGAGTGAACAGGTTAAAGTTTTTGGTGAAGGTTTCATTTCGAAGATACTTTGAGCCCTATGATGACCAAACTTGCATGGATGATACATCTTAGGATGTATTCTACTAGACTTGCTTCCGATGCTGAATCTGACCTACATTTTCCGGTTGAGTGAACAGGTTAAAGTTTTTGGTGCAGGTTTCATTTCCAAGTTACTATGAGACATATAATGACCAAACTTACATGGATGATACATCTTAGGATGCATACTACCAGCCTTGCTTCGGATGCTGAATCTGACCTACATTTTCCGGTTGAGTGAACAGGATAAAGTTTTTGGTGAAGGTTTCATTTCGAAGATACTTTGAGCCCTATAATGACCAAACTTGCATGGATGGTACATCTTAGGATGTATTCTACTAGACTTGCTTCGGATGCTGAATCTGACCTACATTTTCCGGTTGAGTGAACAGGTTAAAGTTTTTGGTGAAGGTTTCATTTCCAATTGCAAGTTACTATGAGACATATAATGACCAAACTTACATGGATGATACATCTTAGGATGCATACTACCAGCCTTGCTTCAGATGATGAATCTGACCTACATCGGGTTGAGTGAACAGGTTAAAAGGTTTTGGTGAAGGTTTCATTTCGAAGATACTTTGAGCCCTATAATGACCAAACTTGCATGGATGGTACATCTTAGGATGTATTCTACTAGACTTGCTTCGGATGCTGAATCTGATCTACATTTTCCGGTTGAGTGAACAGGTTAAAGTTTTTGGTGCAGGTTTCATTTCCAAGTTACTATGAGACATATAATGACCAAACTTACATGGATGATACATCTTAGGATGCATACTACCAGCCTTGCTTCGGATGCTGAATCTGACCTACATTTTCCAGTTGAGTGAACAGGTTAAAGTTTTTGGTGAAGGTTTCATTTTCAAGGTACAGTGTACTAAGAACCGTATAATGACTAAATTGCATGGATGGTACATCTTAGGATGCATACTACCAGACTTGCTTCGGATGCTGAATCTGACCTACATTTTCTGGACGAGTAAACAGGTTTAAGTTTATGGTGCAGGATTCATTTCCAAGTAACTTTGAGCCCTATAATGACCAAACTTGCATGGATGGTACATCTAAGGGTGCATTCTACTAGGCTGGCTTCGGATGCTGAATATGACCTACATTTTCTGGATTAGTGGAAAGGTTAATTTTTTATACAGGTTTCATTTGCAAGTAACTTTAAGCCCTATGTTGACCAAACTTACATGGATGATACATCTTAGGATGCACACAAATGGACTTGCTTCAGATGCTGAATTCGACATACATTTTCAAGATAATAGACCTCGTAAAAGTTATGGGTGCAAGTCTATCACCAAGAAACTATAAGGCTTATATAAACCAGTTGCTTAAATGATGCATCAAGGGATGAAAACTCTCAATCTTGCTTCAGATGCTGGATTTTAATTACATTTTCATGATGAAGAACTAGTTTTTAGTTTTTATATAGGTCTATTCCAAAGTATCAAAATTGCATAAATTTTGCATTTTTGGATGTACACTTTTTGTTGGTTAATTGTGTGACTTAATATGCCTTACTTAAAGACAACACACGTTGAGGTGAGCTCTGTAATCTCTGATTACCTATGTTTTATATAATGTAGACAGACATGTTGTCTAATAATTGGTATGAGATTGAGTTGATTCTAAGCGTCACTTTCTGAGTTATAGGTTTTTGAAAAGTGAATATTTTCACCAGTTTTCAAAAATCTGGAAATATGCCAGATTTGTGACCTTTTTGCACTTAAACGAGGGCACAGTTTGTGATTATGAAAATTTTTCCGAAACAAGTGTATCTTGTTACTTTCAACTATATATGGATATTTAATATCATTATCAATTAAAATGCTGAATTTTTAAATATAAAATCCTATAAAATTCCTGTTTTCACCCTGTGTAAGGACCAAGAATTCTATTTTTAGTAACAGTGTCGATTTAACCCCTTAAGTGAGACCACACTGAAAAAAAATTTGTGGCAAAATATTTCATATTATAGAAGAAATTTACACACAAAACATGAAGTTGATCCGAGAACCTTGCTCCCATAACCTCTTGCATGGTTTTCTCGTAGACATGCTCTTAGTGAAAGGATTTTTTTTAAAACACGATTAAAAAATAAGATGTAATTAATAGATTATAGTAACTATTAATCTAGTTCTATGCAGCTTTAGCTGGAAAATCTCTGAGGATAAGTTATGCTTTTTGGCATAAATTACTGATGAAAAGATCTTTTCAGAGACCTTTTTTACAAACGTAAATCAAAACGATTTTTTGTCTAAGTAAAAGTAAAATATTTGCGAATTTTGACCTAAAATTTACAGATTGGAAAGATTTCATACCTTAAATTTGTAGGATATATTTCTGGTGTGTATAGAAAAATTGTCATGAATGAACCAGATATTCCGAATTTTCCAGCAAAGCTCAGGGCCGAGGCAAACCCCTTCAACGCTGGTGTACCTAATGTTTAAAAGATCGAGGAAAAAACAGGAATGATGGGAGAGATTAAAAAGATTTATTTTCTTGATTATCACATGGTGTTTATGATTTCTGTTTATACATTCAAGAAAATAACATTCATATTAATATAAATAGTGCTAATTTTAAGCATAAATGTGGGCCATCTTTCTGCATTTTTCACAATATATTTGCTATATTTATCAAATATGACAATAGAATTCATGACGATTAATTTAATAAATAATTTAGGATCAGTATAAAACCAGATACACAGTCCTTAGCATAGAATAACTCTGCAGTTAGGCTTCATGTAAAGAAGGAAACCAAAATTAACATACTTTGAATACTTCGAAATAGAGAAAATGATCATTTTTATAAAAAAAAAACCTTTCACCACAAAATACAGTTCCTAACACAATTCTATTGGTATGGGATTAATCATGAAGTTTTCACTGAATATTGACATTGTAGAATCCAAATTTGTTAAAAAGAATTTTTTTTGGATATAGGTTAAGATAGAAATCTGCTCAAAAGCTCAGGAGCGAACTTCGTTAAGCAGAAATAAACACAGATTTTTCAAGTTAATTTTTTTCCACCTGGAAAATAAACTGAACTGTGACTAATACGAAAATGGTGCTCAAAATAAGTGATAATTATCTTTAAAAAAATTCTATAAACATAGCAGATCTAGGAGAGGGTAGCAATAACACGGACTCCTGTAGAATACAGAGGTTGTATCAGAGGCCTAAGAGGAGTCAGCATCCTTTGTTGACTGATCTCACCAGCCCTACGTATTGATCAAAAGGAAGGAGTATTCCTTCAATTTTGCCCTGTGTTTTGATCAAAAGAACAGAAAATTCCTTCAATTTAGACCTACTTGTTGATTAAAAGATCGGAACATTCCTTTAATTGAGTCCTACTTATTGATCAGAATATTCCCTTCAGTTTAGCCCTATGTATTGATCAAAAGAACAGATCATTCCTTCAATAAAGCTCTACGTGTTGATTAAAAGACCGGAACATTCCTTCAATTGAGTCCTACTTATTGATCAGAATATTCCTTCGATTACGCCCTGTGTTTTAATTAAAAGACCGGAACATTCCTTCAATTAAGTTTTATTCCCCATTTTAAAAAGTGAGTTATCTCCCCTCGAAATCGGAACTCTTCTACACCAGCATAACTTCCGCGGACTACGCATTACGATAAACCAACAAAATAGTGATCAACTCACACATTGCATTTAAAAATTTTAAAAGAAGGAACGGTTTGCGATTTTTTTTAGATAATTAGCGATTTTATAAAGGATCTGTTACTAGAAAGCGATACGAATTAGCCAGGTACGTAGCATCGTCTTTAAAATTGGGGGGGGGGGGGGGGGGGCAGCCAGAGAAATATTTTTTTTACTTACCTGGAACAGTTGACAAGCAAAAAAAAAACATGCCCAAAGACGAAAAAAGCTACTTATTTCAGTACCATTTCCTTGGCATAAAATACTGCATTTCCCTTATATAACTTTACCGTAGTATAATCTAGGGGGGGGACTTTCAATAGTAAAAGTAATGTTGGGAAAAAAGTGGGGGTGGGGCTAGCCCCCCCCCCTTGCTACATGCCTGATAGCTGGTAAACAACTTCATCAGAATTTGCAATTTTGTGTCACGTTATTGTAATTTTTTCTTAATATCTTATAAATTACGGGATACATTTTATTTACGTCTATAAAAGGATAATTTACAAAATAAATGTGTATGTTTGTAATAAGCATTGTGGTGAAATCGGGAAGATGAATTTCGCTGGATGTCAGTTCATTGTGTTACACACTTGAACTCTTAACTGACCATAAGAATGTTTCAAGTCAACTTTCATGCGAATTTGATTGACAGATGATGCACGAGGGTTTCGTGTTTACAGCATGCACAAAGAATGAATGTTTAAATGGGTTGAACAGTTGAATATGAACCAAAGTTGTGGAAATTAAAAATCATTAGAATTATTTATTGTGAATTCAATATAATTACGGTATACATGTATATATTTTTTACAGTTGTACATGTATGTCAGTTATACACGGGGGTTCATCTCTCTATTTCTCTGTCTCTGTCTCTCTCTCTCTCTCTCTCTCTCTCTCTCTCTCTCTCTCTCTGATATTGTTTTTTACACACTTTGCAAAAAAGAATAACATATAAAAATAAATACTTACACTGAAAGGATTTTAAAAACATAAATAATACTTTACGAAAAAAATGTTTTCCGTATTAACGAGAAATACGCTCGGAAATTATCATTATATCAATTTCGTGTTTCTGCTGTCAATACTCTAATCTAAAACAAAATAAGTGTATTTTACTCGGGAATATACATAATTGCTTAGATCCTACTCTTAAACGTTGATTAAATGCAGCTCAGATTTTATACGACATACCTAACACTAATTGAGGTCGATGCTATTTTAATTAGTTTTTCTTCGATACATTAGCATATAAGATTAAATTATTCATTTAGAATTCCATTCAAGTTTTAATACTATAAAGTGAATCAATTATTTTAGAAATATAAATTTCTAGAAACACGGTTAATTCAAATGAAATAGGCCTTTAATTGTCACCAAATGTATTCTTGTAAGTAAACTATGTATGTTATGAGTTTATGACATACAAGATCGAGGAAAAACGCAGTTTCTTGATATCGGTCGCGGATGACGAACTACTCTTAGTGATGTATATGCAGCAATTTCAGAGGTAAAACTGTAGATGGACATGTCATCAGTCTCCCAAAAAATTCCTAGAGATGCAGAGAAGAAAATATGGCTGCAGCGGGACTATACAAAAAATTCTATATTTGTTCTGCACATTTTGTAAATAATGACGATCCGTCTGCAGAACATCCACCACCGAAATTGAAATTTTAGCTTTTGTTTTTAAATACGCCTAATCGAATATGTATCAGCATTTTATCAGTAATCTGTTTCGTTTTTTGATTTTTCTTTTTGGTAAGGGGGGGGGGGTGGCTCACACAGCGCCTTATTACCGGTATACTAGTATACAGATTAACACAAATCCAGAAAGAGACTATGAGTGAGCAATTTAAAGAAAAAGAATCAGTGAAGATTTCTTTTTATTCACAAACAACAATAACAGTTTGTCATATGACAGAGACATTAAACAATGAACATGTTTACATCCAGAACGTCCGCAGAAGTGCCTTTCCTTATAACGCATGCGTATTAAACACAGTAAAAGAGTTCCCTTCAGGGGAAATAACTCACCTTTTTAAAATGGGGAATTTGTTGATTAGAAGACCGGAACAGTCCTTCAATTAAGCCCTAATATTTTATCAAAAGGTTGGTACATTCTTTTAAGGTGGTATTTACCTGCAGTGAAGTTAAGGACAGCAGTCATGCTCAGACTAATCCCAGCGATGGCATGAAACATGACACAGGTCTTCTTCCTACCATATCTAAAAAACATTTGTTGCCTTATGTTGTATGCTAGGTTGTATGCCTATGTTAAGGAAGCTCTAAACACTACACACTAAAGAGCTCTCTAATTGTAGGACAGTTACATGCCATTAGTGTGATTTGTCCTTAAAAGTAAGATAGACAAAGGTTTTTATAGTTCATAACACAATTCACTGTGGATGAAAATATTTCAACCATTATATTAGACCAAAAACATGTACTTGAATTCATTATTTTCATTAATTTACCCAAAGTAAGTAAACAGCAGTGTTTTTGTTAACGAATAGTCCATTGTCTTTTGACATTTTTACTGCTTGTTAGAGACACGTACCCTATGTTCCAAATGATGTAAATAGTCTCAACAGCAAACCATGGTATGATATATTTTTCTCCAAGTCTAAAAAAACACTTTTTCTTAATGTTTAGAGCTTCCTTAAAATTTAAATTTGCACTCGTATTAGAACATTGCTTGTAATAAATTTAAATACCTGTTGATCGTAAACAAATACAGAAAAATGCCTGGTAGCTCAACCATTCCATTTAAAAAGAAATTAAGATACATGTTTCCACTCATAGTGCCGGAGATCAGAAATAGTCCATAATACGTGATACTGTTTACAAACCTTAATAGAAAGATACATTCAACTAGCCATAGAAATAATTTTCTTTCAATTCTGTGTAATATCAAGAAACAAAGTTCAGGAGCCCTTCATTACTTCTCTTGTTTATTTTAAATCTGATTTTGACGTCACAAAGGAACTTGAACGAAATGAAAATAAAAATATTATTACCATATTATCCAAACTATTACGGACGTCACCAGAATGTGTTTGTGTCTGAAAATATCCAAAATTGACAACTTCTCCTTTCTCCTTTTCCCTGTCTGTTCACAGTTTGTATCGGGTTCACTGACATCTACAAGCACCTGTAGTTCACTTCTCTGTAATTCAGAGTCGAACTCGTCTATTATAGTGGAAGGATCTATTTTGTTCCACTTGGCTGCTTGTTTAATCCATTGTTTTGCCTCCTCGTACTTACCATTTGCAACAAGCCATCGAAGAGACTTGGAGAATCCTAAGGAAAATTAAGTGAGATTTAGTAGTATCTCAACAATGTTTAAAACATTTCCGTTCTATTTTTTAAATTAAAGTCTTAGAAGTTTATTTAGAGAGAGATCAAGACAAGAAGACACACACACACATCCTCAAAGAGAGAGAGAGAGAGTAAAGGCAATCTTGACCAAGCTGTTCCATTCAAAAGAAGCATGCTACGGTGTGGCAAATGTGCTGGTGATTGATTATACTAAACGACACAACGACCCATAAACTACTGTGTGCCAACTTTGCAAGTTTCGGATTATACGGAGAGTTCCATAATATAATAGAAACATAATGTGTTGTGTAACGTAAATAAAATTATAAACTTCTTTTGAACGGCTGTTGAATACAACGAATGATAAGACGGTGTTATATAGCTGATTATTCCGGTAGAAACACAGACAGTAAAAAGCAAGATGCATAAAAAATACTACTACATTTCAACATGCATAAGGCTATAACAACTGCATACCAGCTAGGCTATGGGAACCTAATAGTAATACTGTAAACATATTACATTTGGCTGTGTATTCTTTTTAGCGCCTTTGGCGGAAAGAAACGTCCGCTAATTCAAGTACAACGCTAAATGTCTTGCACATATACTCGTGTATATGATAATGAATAAATGC